GGGTGGGCTACTATGCAAAGTTGGCATTGCGCGAATAGCTGAAATTTCTGGTCCGTAGCTTGATTCTCCGCCATGGTTAGTAGACTATGAAGGAAATTGGGCTCCAGTTAAGAAGCAGTAACCATCCAAAAGGTGTCTCGCTGCCGATGGGGAAGGGTTGGGCAAAAAAGTCGAGGAACCATCAAGGCAAAACGCGTTCGATAAGGACCGTGAAGATCAACACAAGAAATCTGCTTATCTGATCAAAGACGCGTGAGAATCACATGACACAAACGCCTTATCACGTGGATACGATTAATGAAGACTTGCTTAGTAATATTAGGGCTTTCATAAATCTCGTGAGGCCGACTTGTGCCTCGGCTCAGGGGGGGTGAGATGACCAGGGGAGTGAGATGAAAGGAATAATCATGAAGGCTTTCAAAAATAAGCTGCAAGAGTTGACGGATTTCGATTACTCGAGTCGCTTCACTTGCTATACAGCCCGCGATGTCTTCGGAGTACTTTCGCGTTGTTGAACATGAGGTTCCATGCCAGCACATCCGCGAGTATCCTCGTGCCACATCAGCGGGCCAGGAGGATACGCTTTCCCTCGCTGTGAAGCAATATATTCCTCTAGACAATCTGAGCCCGCAGCCAGGAGATATAACTGTGATCGGCGCACATGCCAATGGGTTTTGTAAGGTGCGTGAGAACACCCCTCAGAATTATACCACTTAAACTAACGTTCCTTCATTTAGGAGCTCTATGAACCCTTATGGGATGAGATACATGCTCGCTCTAAGCAACATGGCTTTCGGATCAGGTCCATCTGGATTGCCGACTTTGCGGTCCAGGGCCAAAGTTATGTCTCAAATGAGGACCGACTCGGGAATGATCGTATGTGATAGATGCCTGAATGTACCTTCGTGCTATACTCATACATAGTAGCCAGTTGGTTCGATCACTCCAGGGATCTCCTAAATCTTGTCAACCTAAAGCGTGCCGACATGCCCCGCCCCATTATAGGCATTGGGCATAGCATGGGCGGTAATCAACTGTACGTGGAGCCTTAATCGACCAGTCTAGACTTGCACGATGATACTGATAAATCCCTAGAGTCAATCTCGCATTAATGCATCCTCGACTCCTTTCTTCACTCGTGTTGATGGACCCCGTGATCCAACGGCACCATGCGCGTTCTGGTGAACAATCAAAGGACGGCGCTTTTTCTAACGTCCCAATGACGGCCAAACTATCCTCATACCGCCGAGACGTCTGGCCATCACGGGAAGATGCCGCCCAGGGTTTCAAGAAGAGTAAATTCTATCAAGCATGGGACCCTCGAGTTTTAGATCGCTACATCCAACATGGCCTGCGCGATCTCCCGACCGCTATTCACCCAAGTGACAATGTGACCCCTGCGAATGGAAAATCGCCTGTCACACTTACAACCCCATTACACCAGGAAGTTTTCACTTTCGTACGGCCCAACTACACAAAAGCAGGCTTACCAGTAAATCGCGTAACCCACCCTGATCTTGACCCTACAGTAACAGGCGGGTACCCCTTTTACCGTCCCGAGCCCCCCATGACATTTTACCGACTCCCCCACCTCCGCCCAAGCGTAATGTACGTCTTCGGAGATAAATCAGAGCTCTCGACGCCCGCTCTCCGCAAGGATAAGATGGATTTCACCGGAACGGGGTACGGAGGCAGCGGAGGAGCAGTTGAAGGCCGAGTCCAATCTGTCTGTTTCGAAGGCATGGGACATCTTTTCCCGCTCGAGATAGTAGACAAATGTGCCGACGTTGCTGCCGATTGGGTCGGAGCTGAGATGCGCCTGTGGCGGGAACAAGAGGCCGCATTTAATGCGGAATGGAGTCAGAAGTCCAGCATAGAGAAAGCTACTATCGACGAAGCGTGGAAGCAAAATATCGGCCCTCCCCTAGGAAGGAAACCGCAAACCCAGAAACCGAACCTTTGAGGGGTATCTCTCTGAAACGAAAAACGGGCACTGTACGGATATATATATCTCTTTTTCGTGTATATTCGCTTGGTGATTTGATACCATGATACTAGAGAATAGACATTCAGCATTACATATTCGGTTATATTCTTCTACTATTCATTGGATGCCAGGGCTGCTATACTAATTAGGGGGGAACCGGATGATTCTTGTCGAACTGGGCTGAGCGACAGCCGATGAAAGCTTCCGGTAGACTGGAAACGTGGTAACCATGACGTCTTTCAGGCTCTAGTTTACCTCGAAGAGTACTGTCACATATCGGGGGGAAATTGGTCCAGGTGAATTATGCCTCGCCTCCATGAGCGCTTTCACATTGCATTTAAGCTAGTTATAACTGTTATATACACTCCTGATTGAGTCCGGGGTTGTAGATTATAATCGACAAAGCAACATATACCATGCTCTCTAACCCGAGCGCCCACACCATCCCGTTCCCAGAGTTTGGCTAGGCATCTTGGGATATAAAATACGCGATATCGGACGAGAGGCTCGAGAAAATCCCGTACTTCTTCATTCATTTTTCGTTCATCCCTTCCCGTTCGGGATCCCCGCGCCTGGAAGACTCACATTATCTCATGACAGAGGATTCGAGTATGTCGTCTTGGCATACCCATGGGATGGGTCACATCCATAGAAGCGAGGGTGGGGAATGCGAGCAACAGCGACCCCTGACGCCCCTCTCAACCTTGTAGGACAGAAAGTGCTATCACTCTAGCGGAATTCAGGGCACTGTAACCATGTGTTTGCTTCCACTGGGGCATGTCTAGGGGTGTGGTGTATTGCCCAAAGAGCATATTACCCAAAAAATTGAGAATTCCCCTTGAACGACACCGCTCCCCCACACGGTAGCCTCCAGGAACTCGTCGATAAGTTCGCCGGTCCGACAAGGGGCGGTTTTTTCGTATAACTGCCATATCTAGGGCGGTAGGCTCGAAATCTGGGATGCCAGCTACTCAGTCTTGAAGAGAACGAACTCCCGTGAAGGGTTCCTTTATCGACCGTGCCCGGGATGCCATCCCACCAAGTAGGAACGCAAGTTTTAACCTGTGTACCAGTTTATACCTCCTGCCGGAATCGGAACCACAGACCCCTTCACACCAAAGTGAGAATGAAAGACACTGAGTATCTAGATCTCGACTCCTCGAAACATATGACTGTGCCAGCCAGATCGGGTCTGCAGGCGACAGGAGACTCCCAATGTTACGAATAACTTGGACTTTGACAAATCGTCCAACCACAACCCTAAATTTCGTTGGACACTTTGAGCAGGACTCAAATTGATTCGGTCGCTCATAAAGAGCAATCACTTTCTGGTCACCAAGGCAAACGTGGGGGCATAGAGGAAGCCCAAGAAATGCGCACATACTGCCAAATGAAAACTCGCCGGTCCTGTATAGCTTGAGCGTATAATTAAAACCAACTGGGTCACGATCAAATTGTGTCACCTTCCAAAATAGAACGCGATTGGGCTCGCTCACGTACACAGTGTAACGATCCGCAGTCGATGGTGGGATTGAGATTGCGTACTTCAGCTCAGGAAAGGTTGTTTCTTTTACTCCCCACCAGAATTTTCTCTTCGAGAAAGAACAGTAGCGAAAAGTCGGCCCAGGTTTGTAATAAGTATATGATTCGGTAAGGTGCAGCTTTAAATCGGGTTTCTTTCGTAATTCTTCTTGCGGGAAGGCGGCTTGCTCATGTGTCGTCATGCATCCCCAACAACAATACGTTGGGGGATGGTCTTTAGCTAGTAAACCATCATACTCGAGCATTCGAAGGATATAGAAGCGAGCATATTTGAGATCCGGATCAGCCGGTCGAATCTGCATTAATTTCCACACACCTGAGAATGATGAGCCGGGTTCATTTCGACTGTTCCAGAAGCGTTTGCAGACAAGCATTAGCGCGATAGTCTCAGGGAGAGATAGATGTCGACAGATCTCTAATACCAACTCCGCCGGGAGTTTACGCAAAAACATTGGATATTGCCGGGGACCGGCGCTCTGCGCTATGGTTGCCTTTCGGGAAGAATTAGAACGAGGTTTCATGAGCCGCTTCAGCCATGATGAAGCCATTTGGGCGGTTTTCTTCGAAGCCAAGAGTGAGAGATATGACAGAGTAGGAGTACATTGCGACGGCTTGTGTACCGATGAGGCGTTATAAATGGGGTCGGGGGTTCAATTGCCCTTTGGGGGTGATGTAATGTGAAGTAATACTTCTTGAGCCAAATTTCTACCACTGAGCCAAACAGATCTCCTCAACTTCAGGGCTGAGAAGCTAAATAGGCAAGTGTTTCAACACACCACCTCGGGACTCTGACTGAATGAAAGGAGGCGCAGAACTGAAGAAACCGGGATCTCGCAGCATCTTGGTGAGTCGAAATCGAACAGTTGAACGGAGAGCTGAATAAGGAATCGAGTCGATCTAATTTTCATCGCTCGCAAGTGGATCGAATGTCGTTCAATGACGCACTTTTATGGCTAAATGTAACAATAATAACCCGAATGCCGGTCACTTTTTTCGATTGAAGTGTAATCATGAGCTTCAGTTCGTCGGAAATAAAATATCGTCTTTGCTTCGATTCGGATGCGCAGCGGAAACGCGAAAGAGCGCATAGCCTCCTGAGCCAAACTTCTCCCACGGAGCCAAAAAGGCAGATCAACACTCGGCTTCAGGGATGAGAAGGCTTTATTGACGACTCGTAGCCGCCTAAAAGCTTGTGTTGACGTCGAAGAGCGGTTGTCGACGGGGAAATGTCGGTCCGGTGTCCAGACATGGTCGAATGAAATTGTCGAGTTTTTGGAACTTGGGAGCACGTCAATGATGCTGGAAGTCATAACAATCAAGCTTTGTTTTTGTCTTTGGGGGTTAAGCCCCGGTAGGTATAGAGAAGTGGGAGGAGGAGCAGAAGGCGTAAAGGGGTGGAGAGGTTCGTTTGGAGTCAGGCGTTCGTCTCTAAGCGCATCCAAACAGGTTGCATGGGTTCACGGAAAAAAATTGCCGATGCTAGGATTCGAACCCAGGCATCTCGACCCCAATTATGGGCAAGCCCGGAAGGACCCGTCGCAATCGAAAGACGTGCTCCCACTACACCACATCGGCCTACTTGTTACTACACTTCACAAAATTAAATCTATATCATTGTCAGACGAAGCTGATTCTTGTCAAGATCTCACCTTAGTCAACCACAGCTCTCTATTTTGACGATCTTGCTCTCCACCGTCTTCAAAAGGCGATGTCATTCAAGCCCTATGTCATCATCAGCATTCTGCCGACAGAAATCTCTCATCTGACATTCCCAATCTAACCCCCTTCCAACCCCACTTTTTACCCCCATTGGAACCCCCTTCCAAATCCCCTTCCATTCCCACCCCCTTGAGATTGAATGAAAGCTGATTCCACCATCAGTTGATTCCTACCCTCTAGGGGCCGACCGAAAGCTGCTGATTCCCACTACCTTGGGATTTAATGAAACACTGAGATAGGGGGCGCTGCAATATATGAACTGGGTCTCTAAGAGATTTGAATAGTTATCGCGATGCAACTTTATTTGAAGATATGTAGATAGATTACGCATTTCTCGTCGACTGAAGAATCTCAGTTATTACATCATATCATTGTAGAGGGTTCGTAAGCCCGAGAGAAATTTTAATGAGCTGAGGGATACCAGTATGGGTGATCATTTCCCGGCTTTCGATTACCGTTTCCCGAATAGCTACCACACTTGTACAATACTTCCTCCCTCGACTTTCCCATCCTGCGTAGGAGTTCCAACCCCGAGTTCACATTCACTTGGAAACAGGTGTAAGGGGGGTGGCGTGTCATGCCTGGGACGCATCGTCGTGTCTCTAGCGCTTTTCGGTCCCCGATAGACGTCCACAACCTGAGGTTTAGGGCTCATCTCTGGAAGGGGACTTCGTCACAAAGGGGAGCTCTCGCCAGTAACTCAGGGATTCTCACAGCTTCGTGAGTTGGTGTCTTGGAATTCGCGTTTCCGAGGTCTGTTACTGCGCTATATCTTTCACTAGTAGAGGTCTTCTCTCTGATTCCTCGCCTATTAGCGCACTCACATCACCCCCTCTCACAACATCTGTCTCGCATGGGATGTTTCTCAGATCCTGCAGGTGAAAATTAAACGGAAAGCGGGCGAGACCCGAAACCCGGTCACTTCTCTGAGAGGGTTCGGGACCGCGTCCAATATCGCCTATCCCAGGAATTCCTTCTCTGGTCAAGAGGTTGACTCAATTCGATCTAAGGCTTGAGAAGTCTTGGTCGTCCGACCATGGCTTTCTCCTCGTTCCGGTGTTCCTTTGGCTGGAGACTTATTTGGATAGACAAAGGCAAATAGGACTCCCGCGGGGTCTTTGGCATGTAAAAGAGTGTTTTGGCGTTGGAAACCGGAGTTTGTGTGCTCTTATGTAGCAATGTAGCAAGAGTTTGGGAATTTTGCGATTCGCACAAAACCCGAAAGTAGGCCTCACTGAAGAGAAGATATCTTTAAAATGTGGCTTGACTACATCCTTTTATAGCCCGTTCTTTAAGTTTCCTTTGTCGCCATCACTGAGAACTTCTCTCGGATGTAACCTCTGTTCCTTCCACAGGGTCTTGCCCGGATCCGGTTGTCGGGGCACTATTTTCGGCGTGACCGGGGGCCGTTTTCGGGGCGTTCCTATTACTGGTCCGGGGAGAGTCCAGTCACTCATATCGGGGACCGTTTTGAGGATTGACAACATGGCGCAGGCAGTGGCTTCTAAGTCTCCAAGATCCTGTTCGTCCGTCCCTATCTTCGGGTGTGAATGATGGGCGAGAGGACACCGAGGAAGCATATAAGATTTCAAACTTCAGAATCGGAAGTGCCGGCAGAAAAAGGCCCTCCTGAGCTTGGTGTCACAAATTGAAGTCGTGATGGTTTTGCTCCTCTTCTCCAGTCTTTGACTCAATCTTGCACCTTTCTCTAAAGACAACAATAAGTTAGACGAGATAAATGATAAGTTTGGAAAGGGAGCGTACTGGTAGTGAGCCCTTCATGTACTTGAAGTCAAGTGTCGTACCTCCCGGAAGACCCCTCAAGATCAAAACAGTGCTTCTCCAGAACGTTTCGCTTTTCCATTTTCTCAACCATTTAAACCCGTCACTGTCACCGGCTATCATAAAACCCCCCTCGATTACTTTCCTTCCACATACGACCATAGGGTGTGGAATACAGGGCTTCCCGTCCGCTCAGCCGTACTTAAGCCACACGCCGGCCGGTTAGTAGTTGGGTGGGTGACCACCAGCGAATACCGTCTGTTGTATGTAATTCTTTTTTTTTTGACCTCTGCATCAGACAGCAAGAGCCAAACGTATTTTTGGAGATGTCACTCTCTCGAGCATTCCCCTGTCCACGCCTGCTTCCTATGGCAAACGAGAATACCCCCTCGAATCTAGCTGCCCCTGGCTCCAAATTTTCGGGCGTAGACGTGGACAACGTGTGTCATGACCACTTCCCCAGCGCACAAGAAAACTTCGATCTTTTCCGACTTCCTTGGTTGTGTTGTAGCTCTAAATCTCTAGTCCAGACAAAGCAAATACATTGGAGGGACTTTATCGCCGTTTAGTATTCACCGGGGTAAGGTTGGAGAAGGGAAGGCAGCAGACCCGTATAGAGTCAACGGTCGAACGAGGTGGGTAGACGGTAAAGAATAGTGTGACGAAGCATACCCTCATTTTCTTTGTCTACTTTGCTCTTCTTCATGAAGAGGAGCGACAACACGTGCGCATGTCAACGCACATGGTCTGGTAGACCCTTTCTTGACGATTTCGAAATATCCGCTCAATGTTCCAGTTCATCCAGGCTGTAGAACGGTGAACTGCATCTGGGTGGCATCAAGGTTCCTTCTGTAGATACAGGGAAGGGTATCATCCTTTTCTGGGTGTCGTGTGCATTTGGATGTTCCCTAACTCCGATTCGCCCAAGATCACACTCGCCGTTCTCGCGTAACCGTACTCACAGATCCCGAGGCAAGATGCGACTCGTTATCTCTTTACGTTGATAACAACAGTCACATTTTATATTATGAGAGTCAAATCGGGAACAAAGTAACATTCCTTGGCATCGTTCTGTGGGCAGGGCCTGGGAATCACGAAAACGATCAGAATAAGCTGGTGACCGCTCTGAGCGCAATACTGAATGGCCGCAGGCCAGCCACTCCGAGGTTTCATGCGGTCCAGGAGTTTTCTCTGGAAGAGACGTCAGTAGGCAGGCATCAAGGTCATCGGGGTCCTGGTCCTCAAATTATTCGGGAGGTCTCCAACTGGAATATCAAGAGGGTTATCCTGATGGCCTTGGGTTTCGCCGTGGTAGAACCGCGCAGAGAAAGAAGGCTGCTTGACCAGGGAATCATCAGGGGGAGGTATTCCATGATATGAGTCTTATTCTCCTGTGCATAATTTGGCAGAAACGACACTTAGGTTTGTCATCAGCCGCCGTCACAGTCCTGATAGGTGGTGAGTACTGTATCATCTGGCATGCTCAACCTGGAGCCGTTCATCTGGGTTTCGGGTGAGGGACATCTGAGTCGATATTGCCGATCCGAGAAGAGACATGAGCGAATCGATTCGCCCGTCAGGCAGTTTGGTTGTATAATCTGGCAAGAAAGTGGGTTTAAGTCGTTTTGGGTCTCGACTCGCTTCCTCTATATATAACGAAATATAACAGACAAGTTCCTTCACAGCCTGCGCGTGAATGTTGCGTGGCCTGATTTCAATCGATATCCCACACAAGCCGAATCGTGATGGGAAAAAGAAGAGCTCCGGTTCGTTGGCGATTCTGTAGATCTTTCGAACTAACGGAGAATCGTATAAAACAGCAAAAGGGTATATATAATTCCATCACAACGACCCCATTTGTGTACGTCGTGGAACTTGTTCAAAACTTTCAGACATCAAGATGTCTCTTTGCAAGTAATGCCTTCCGGTTCGGATGGATAATTCCGCTTCATTCTGGGGCCGGTCATTAGGGGCAAGGTGTGCAACAAGTGTATATATATATCTATAGTTGTGAGCCCCCCTACCAAAAGTACTGTCAGTATAACTGTCCAGTTAGGGAACGTAGCCCCTGAAAGGAAGGGCATAGGGAAAGACACTGGGCAGCACTCTAGAAGAAGTGATGGGTAACAGGATGGGAACACATAAACAAAGATGCCTACCAAATGTTCAGAACTTCACTGTATAGACGCGTCTGGTCTGTTGTTGACATATCCCCCGCCTCCTCGCGGTGAATGATAACACAGCTCCAAACTTCCCTATCTCACTTTCAACCCTTCTCTCAAACTATTTTCATTCCTTCGCAGAACACTCTCTGCACAACAACATCGTCGTCGGTTCAAAACACTCTCGTTTCTGGCCGTTTCGGCGTTCGCGAAGTTAATCGTGCGACGAGATTAGAAATCCGATCCAGTAAGTTCCTACCCCGGATTTCGAGTTAGCTATCATGTTCCGGAACCCACAGAAACGATCTGCGGACCCGCAAGCGAGACTAACACATTAAGCATAGATAACAACTCACCAATAACGTCAACATGCCGCCTTCGGTCTCCAATGATCCGGCCCCTGGCGCTCACCAGGATCACGCCGAGGACAGCCACAGCACCAGTGCGACCCACGAGAGTATCAGTGACGCCGGTGATAGCGACATCGCGCACAGTGATGCCGGAGATAGCGAAGATATGGAGTTCTTCGCCACCAACATGCCTCCCGCTCCTCCCCCGACACGCGAGAACTCACTCGCAAGTCGTCACAGCGCGAGTTCTGACCAGAGCCTGGAACCATTCCCTGAACTGAGCCCTGAACTCCCCGAACTCCCCGAGTCTCCACCACTCCTTTCTCGCTTGGAACCGTACGAAGATCACCAGGACAGACACAGATACCCCTATTATCGTTATGACGAGGGCATATTCTTTGAGCATGAGGCGGACCCGGACTCTGAGAGTGAATACGACGATAGTCCTCTGTTGAGCCGTGGTCTGCCGCCTGACCAGAGGGAGGCATATTTCCAGGAAGTGGGCTACGTCCCGGCACAGAGCCAAAGTGAGGAACCGAGCCAGAGCGAGACACAGAGCGAA